CCAGCTCCATCTTTGTCAGTGACTGCCACTGGCTCCTAGTTGTGTAGCATCAGCAGAGGCAGGACAAGGTATTACAGTGACTGCTTCAACCAAGTTCTGCTCGAGGCTATTAGGGAGTGATATAGTCCAACTGCTGTGGCACAGGAAAGCCGTTTTACCTCATCCTTTTAGGGTGGATGAAGGAATGGGGGCATGTATTGCAACCCACACTTCTGTTTTGTCTTGGTACTAAGGTGCTTCTGGGAGAAGAGACATTCACTTCATTGGCCCCAACTCTGAAACAGCAACAAGACTTTTTGCAAGGCCCTATGACATGGCTCAGAGAGGAAACAGCAGACAAAGAAGTCCTTTGGATTACATAAGGAAGTGTTGCCATGCTTCCAAGAGAAGATGCTATGTACCTGAGCAACCTAGGCTATTGACAACACCACAACACCACCAATTAACAACTGGGTCTATATTCTGAACAACCACAACAGTTCCCTTTCAAAGCTTTACTAGAACTTCCTTTCTAGGTAAATAACTGTTTCTCCTGATCAAAGGTTCTGGGATATTAGCAGATGTACAATGAAAGACATAGTTCACTTCTGCTTGAACTGGACCCATGGCATATTCTTACTAGGAAACGATCATCTTGTTGAGTGTGTACAAACTCAGCATACTCTGTGCAAATTCTTTATTGAAACAATGATCAATTTACAAGCTGGATCACATTTCATTTTGCCACTTCAGCATGAACTGGTCTCTTTGTGGTTTACGGCTGTGAACTATAAAATCATAACAATTATTTAAATCAAAATACAGTAACTGCTTCTTAAAATAACACATTCATATTTGTCTTACATTTTTTATAAAATCAAAAAGGATTTAATAATAAATGAAATACAACTTAAGATACTTTAGTGCAAGCGTTTCCTTCGCATCTAAGAAGCCTTCAGTTGTCCCACTAAGTATGGCATACTTAAGAGGCCAACTCTTAAAATAGCATGCTGCCAAAATATTCCATGAGAACTTTTAAAATTCAACTCTGTTAACACTTTCCAGAATTAGATGGTCTGAATCAAACTGAACATCAGAAAGCCCTGGTTATACGTTACAGTACTTTTGTCAAAAGGTAACTGCAAATCGAGGAACTGACATAGTATGTACATTGAACAGGCACTGATTTTAAAAAAAATCAACATCTGCCCGTATATGCCATTCTGCAAGTCTTAATATTATACAGTAATTTTTAAGCACAGGAGTGAACTGCTGTGCCTTACCTAACACCAATAAACCCACATAAAAAAGCTGATCTATGGGTTCTTTTAAATTTTTTAAATTACAATCTCAAAAAAATGACTGAAGAGTAGGTTTCATCACAAGCATACCCAAGAGAACAAAAAAAGATCATCAGTAAACATATTCTGCTCAAAAAGAAAATGTTAAGTAGATAGTGAGTACTATGTTGAAGTGGTCTGATTAATATGGTCTTACATTTAGTGAAAAAAGAATAGCAAGTGTAAAATTCAAATCCAACACTGATTTCTTGTGCTGCAGAAATCTAGTCACCTTTCATGAAGTTTTGGCAAAAATATTTTAAAATGGTGTACATATATTCTGCAAATCTCTTTTCCTTTCTAAGCTTGGCTTTGTTCCTTATGCTTTTAGAATGCAGATTCAGTTGGACTGGATTTTCCAGATTCTGTGTGTTTTAAGAACCACTAGTGTTTGATGACATAATAAATAGAACAATGTAACAAAAGCTGTGCATAGTCCAATGATGGGAACAGATCACTCTAATGTCCCTGAAGTGCTTAAGGTGCATGAAAATACGTAACAATGCAAATGTCAATGTTTTTTTTGTTTTTAACATATTTGTTAATTGTGTTCTTGCACCATAAAATAGCCATTCCCTACGAAGTACTGCAAGGCAGAATAGTCTACTTCATAATAGCACAGCCAGAAAGTCTGAACAGAAACGATGGGTCTGCATCTTCCTTCCCAGCTATCTCCTACAAAGGAAGTGCCTGAAAGCATGTAAAAAGCTTTAGGCTTACAGGCGTTATATAAGAGATGCATAAAATACTGAGCAGCATACGTGAAAAACAAAAAAAATACATGAATTGGAACCATTACAATCTGTATTTTCTCCACATACAGTGCTGTTCTGCCTTTATTCTGGTAATACCACAAAGCTAAATGTCCAAAGAATTCACAGCAGACTGGCTGGAGCAGCCCTGGCTGTGAACACTCAGTTCTGAGTGAGTCCAGCTCCAGCAGAGTCAAGGTTCCCTTGGACCTTGCAACAGCAGGAACTCAGCACTACACCTGTTACGTGCACCTAATCCAGGTAACTGTTGCTTGTATGCGGTTTGCAATGTATGTTTGTGTGTACTTCAAATACGTGCTCTTTGTGGGCAACCTTTGGGAAAAAGATAATCTGCATCTTCAGTGAAGTTTACACAGAGATACTGAAGAAAAGCATGGGGATTGTTTGCTCTCAAATGCTTCTCAATAAATAAATAATAAACAGGCTGGAGGACAGCCTGGGGGCAGCAGTCAGGATCAGAACTGCCTGGTACCAATCACCATATGAATACATGAAGGGGTCTGGTCTCTACTGTAAAAAGTTCATAATTAAAAAGCAATTAAAATACTGTAGTTTAATGAATAATTTTGAAACTTTTTTTTAATTTTAAAATGTAATTTAAAAGTTATTTTTATGCTTTCAAAGAGAACATCCTTGCTCATCTATGCAATCTTAGTTGGGCACCAGGCAGGTAACTTTAGAATGCATAAGCATTGCTTGTAAATGCTGGACAGGCACAAAAATCATGATGCCTATTTTCAGGAGGTTAAGGTGAATTAAAAGAATTTAGTGCAAGTTCCTGCTTTTGTTTCTGCCCTTGTCCTTCTTTCATACCAGAAGCAAATTAAGTAACTTAAAAAAATGATGTGAACACTAAACAGAAATGTCCTTTGGACTCAGACAAGAAGTTAACAGTTTGCATCAGTAGTATTTTCAATCACACTGGTCAGAAGTGAGGTTCTTTCTTTATGGTATTCTCTTAATTGACCCTGTGTTCTAGATTTATATTGCTTCACTGGAACTAAAATATTTCCAGCCACATTCCTAAAGGGACTTTGCCTTTGCATGTTTCCTTTGGGTATGTGCAAGTGCATTTTGTATAGATGCCTGCCACTGGTGAGCACAAACAAATGCTAGGTAACTAAATGCTCTAATTTTCACAAGTTGTTTGCGAAATCTGATGTCCGTTATTAAACACGTTTTTTTTTTTTAATAACCATAGAAAGGTAAATATGGAGCCTTCTCTGTATCACCTGCCTAAGTCATGAGGTGTTCCTGTATCACACTGCTAGTGAAGCTCTGCACTTAAAACCTCAGTTCATTATCAAGGGGGGTTTTTAGATAGCTGCAACACTGACTTTGTTTGGTCTCGATTACCCGTGCAGTTAATACACCTTATTGCCTCCAATGGACACCTTATGTAGATATGCCTACTTCAGTAAAATGTCCAAAGAGCCATCCACGCATCATCTCCCCATGGACCTAACTGATTTTTTTTCTGCAACATACTTGATTCCAGATTGACTATCTATACTTATGCTACAGTCCTTCTTAAAAACTATGCGGTGATAATTTGTTCATTTGTTCCAAATTAAATGTGTCAGGTAATTAAGTAATATACTATTAATCCTACACAAACTCCTCCTTGTGCATGCTTTCTTTCCAGACTCATTCCAGAGAAGGTCCTTTTTATTGTCCATCTGCAATAGAAATTATCACTTCCCTTCCACTCCTGGCATTTCCTGGTCTTTTTTAATGCCATCATCGCTGCGATCATTAAAGCTTTACTGGGGTAGAGTTACACGTACTCAAGTAGTGAACATCCTACATAGGTAGGATGTTCTTAAAGTACCAAAGCAATGATAACATAGTAAACAGTTTGTGTGATCGTCATCGTAATTTCACAGGACACTTGATTATAATTTATTTTTTTTAGTTTGGATAAAACACTCTCAAACTTATGCTTATAGATTAATTTAGGCTTGGTGTTCAGAATATGAATCTGCACAAAATTGAGAATCCAAATAAAAGGGTCTTCTGCCATTTCAGCCTTGTCATCAGCTGATTACTGCCATTTGCAGGACTGTTAAGGAACCTGCATATCTTCTGGTAAGGTAGTGCATACTTCTACCAAATTACTACAAAACAAGACCTCTGGCATGTTTGCAGCTGTTTTCCATCTAAATTTCTGGCAAAGTAAAAAAATGGCCAAATACATGCAAAATAAACTTGCAGAGCTGTTGGGCTGCAACTTTCTGTAAGACGTTTATGGGCTTTCCCATCTGTAAAATATATCTCAAACTTTTTTCTCAATGTGAAAAAAACAATTGTTGGCATCTCCATTCCATGGAAAAGGGAAAACTATTTCCCAAGTGCTAAGCAGTGTGGTCTCAAATGAAATGGAAACATTTAAATTTTCTTTAATAGCCCTCTAAATCACAATGCAGCTGAGCAAACAGGCTTTGTAAATGGGATCTGTTACGATTTTATTTGGCCACTGGAGTGCTGCCTTTTGGGCAATATTTCAAATTCACAAGATAGTATTTGCAAAAATGCAATAAATGGAAATAATGAGAGTGAAGGAGGAAAATGAAACAGTTTTATGTTTACTAAGTTCAAGTGTCCTACATCAAAGACTACCAATGACTTCCAGGAGGCCACTACAGGTGACTCCAACCTAGAAAATGCTGAGGTAAATGTTTCTTGGAAATACTCCTAATCAAGAAGAGCAATTAATATTAATGTAATAGCAATTACTCTGCCATACATCATGGTAAACTAAAGTCAAACTGAGAAGAAAGTGCCAAATAATCCACATACATGCTTTTGCTATGATAGTCTCCAGGTAAGGCTTAGCGGCAAGTACAATATGTATTTTTAAAAGAGCTCCACCTGATTTTCCTGTGATGCATAGATTCAGGAGTAACTATCATACATGGCTTTCATATATAATGCATGTATTTTTGTCATTTGCCAATGCTATGTCATCAGAACTGAGTTCAGCAGAAGGCTCAGGAGGGGGCTCTGCAGGAAGTGCTGGTGTTTGAGGAGTGTCTTCTTCCTTGGTGTCCAACTGCATGCTTTCTTGTGACTGACCATCCATGCAGTCCTTTCTGGACAATGGGTGAACCGACACTTTTATTGCAATCTGTTGAGGTGGCTCATGCAGTGACGATGCATCAGAGTCAGCTGTGGGAGAGTCACTGCGCTTCAAAGCATTCGGGATCATATACAGCTCATCTGTTTCAGTGGTTTCCTGGCCTTCTGCTGTCTGCCGTACAAAATTCTGTCCTTGCTCCTCCAGACCAACAACCTCCATAATTTCTTCCATTATAGTCCTGCAGTTCATGATGAGGGGTGGCAAAGGTACGCTCCTAGCAAGCTCTTCAATATAGCGAGCAAATTCCATGGTCTTAAACTGTGTTACTTTGGCAAGCTCGAGCGTTTTGGCTGAAGTGATAATTGGGATACGCTTTGCAATCTCAAAGGCTTTCTGGAGTTTCTCTGCCCCTTCTGTTCTGAAAAATTCATTGATTGCTTTCTCTGTTTTCTTCAGATGACTGCTCATCATACATAAGCGAGTAATGTTCAGTATCATAACAATAGTAAAAGCTACAAGGCAGACAATCATGTAATAGATTCCCATATCTCCAGAGGTAAAAACAACCCTCAGCGTCACAGTATTGTTAACACTGCCATATGTATTAGATGCGACACACGTGTATTTACCTCTGTCTTCAAAAGACACGCTGGTAATGTTTAGTAGCCCATTGTCAAGAAACCACCATTTTCCTGCTGGAAAGGAGACAGAGTAATTTAGTTAGAAGTATTTTGTGCACACGATCAGCATAGTCTTAAACATCAGCTTTGTCAAACTGGCTTCAGATTTTGGAACAAGGAAATAATGTTCATAAGAAGTCACAGAATTTACCATCACAAAGGCCTGTCTGTCCCTGAGATCCTAGCTGTGTAACTATCAAATCCCTGGCATCAACTGTGAATAATTGGATCATGCCCTAAAACAGACTCATAAAAAAATGCTAATATGCGTGACATCCATCAAAATCTTATGGTCAGTTAAGTTACAAAGATATGACTACTTACCCCAGAGAGCCTCCCAAACACATGCCACACTTCCTCAAAGAACAATAACAATGGGATTGTAAAGCGGAAAAACCTACTAAGCCCTCCTTGTTTTCTTCCCTGACAATGCATTTTCTTACAATTGGGTTACATTTGGTGCTTTGTTACGGTATCTCATATAATTCTGTTAATGTAAAATTTAAAAACCGCTAAAATTTCAGACATCATACACTACACTATCTACCCTCTGAGGTGTTCAGAATCTAATTCTGAAGTATGATTTTAAAAAAAGGGAAATAGGACAGGATGAGTAAGATAGATGGGAAAGAGAACCATGACCAATTAAGAGAATGCCTTATTTGCCAGTATGAACTTCTATGCACCATGATGGAACTTCTTTTACTTTTAAAAGTCATTCCTATCAGTGTAATGCAATTGGTATCTTTGGTTGCTACATGTAATAACAGAACCACAGAATCACAGCATGGTGGAGGTTGGAAGGGACCTCTAGAGATCATCTAGTCCAACCCCACTGCTAAAGCAGGTTCACCTACAGCAGGTTGCACAGGACTGCATCCACGTGGGTTTTGAATATCTCCAGCGAAGGAGACTCCACAACCCCCCTGGGCAGCCTGTTCCAGTGCTCTGTCACCCTCAGTGTAAAGAAGTTTTTCCTTATGTTCAGGTGGAACCTCCTGTGCTCCAGCGTGTGCCCACTGCCCCTTGTCCTGTCACTGGGCACCACTCAAAAGAGCCTGGCCCCATCCTCTTGACACCCGCCCTTTAGATATTTGAAAGTGTTGATAAGGTCCCCTCTCAGTCGTCTCTTCTCCAGGCTAAAGAGCCCCAGGTCTCTCAACCTTTCTTCACAAGAGAGATGCTCCAGTCCCCTCATCATCTTCCTAGCTCTCTGCTGGACTCTCTCCAGTAGTTCCTGTCGAACTGGGGGGCCCAGAACTGGACACAGCACTCAGGGCAGAGTAGACAGGGAGGAGAATCTCCCTCAACCTACTGGCCACACTCTTCTTAATGCACCCCAAGATACCACTGGCCTTCTTGGCACATGCCTGGTTCATGGCTAACTTGCTGTCCACAATTGTACATGTATGTTTCACAACCTGGCACAGCAGAACAATTTAGCTATTAAACTGAGTTTGAAACAACATGTTAAAATCCAGTCCTCCTACCACTGCTAAAGTGATTTCAAGATTCAGCTAGTTACTTTGTTTGCCATTATATATTGGTAATTGTCCTGGTTTGGGCTAAATCA